TTAATTAATTAATGAATTTATTTTTATTTATTTGAAATTTTTATTGGAATGATTAATTAATTGAGATGCCCTAGGTGAGAAAAATATTTGAATTAATTTAATTGAACTGAATAACCAATCATGAAAGACAAAAAATGAGTAGAAAACAAATTCACAGTTGAAACTAGCAAATTTGATTATATTAGGGTATCTTCTCTTGAATATACCTCAACATCACCGATTTCTTCGTTAAATAAACAACTTTTTGCATTATTTTTAAATTATTTTTCATGCAGTTGTCTTCATTCCGGAGACATATTCGTGAACAGAACGTAAACTTTCTGAATGTTTTAATTAGTTTAAGAAATTCTCTGCAAAAAAAATCCTGACAAATTCCTCAGACCCTTCAAATAAACAACGTTTAAAAAAAATCACACTTTTTAAATGAAACATTTCTTTGATACAATAAAATGCATTTTTTATTGCTCTGAATTAATTCATTTGAAATTTTTATTGGGATGATTAATTAATTGAGATACCCTAGGTGAAAAAAATATTTGAATTAATTAAATTAAGCTAAATCAATCATCAAAGACGAAAAATAAATAGAAAAGAAATCTGTGTTGCAACTAATAAATTTTCTTATATTCGGGTATCTTCTCTTGAAAACACCTCAATATTACCAATTTTTTCGTTTAATAAACGAACAACTTTTTACACAATGTTGTAATTATCTTGATAATTACTTATTCATTTAATTATTTATTTAGTATACAAAATTTTCTGCAAAAAAATCTTGATAAATGTCTGGAATCCTTCAAATAAGAGTTCAAATAATCATATTTTTCCATAAAAAAATTCTTGCAGTTTCATGAAATTAATTTGAAAAAATTGTTTCAGGGGTTTAACCGATGAAAGTGAGATTTTAAAATTCCTGCAGCATGGAACCCTGGTCGGTCTTTTGCCCGTTCCCCACCCAATATTAATCCGTCGATACCAGGCTAACGCTGGGACGACAGCCTGGTTCCGCACCTACATGTGGGGGGTGATTTACCTAAGAAACGTCGAGCCCCCAATATGGTACGACACAGACGTCAAACTCTTCGAAATCCAAAGAGTCTAGGACACACACAAACATCCCAAATATCTGCATACGTATAAAAAAGAAAAAAACATTTATTCGTCTGATACATGGATCTGTACAGTTTTAATTATGAAATTCAGTAATTAATCACATCACAGTGATGAGAGAAAATAAATATAGAATTAAATTAAGTTGTCGAATGAGGAAAAATGATTTCTCTTTTCCTATTTCGTTGCACCGAGATGTAGTGAAGTGAAATGAACAAGTTCATCGGTTTTATACAGATTATTTTGCTGATATCTCTGGAAAATAATCTGTCCATCGAAAAATGTCAGATCTTTTTCTGTATCTGATGACCTTTTGTACAAAAAAAATCTGTTTATATTTTTCTATAAACATTTTCCTCCCGAAGATATTCGTGAATTTGTCATCTTTCACTTCATCAGTTCATTTTAATCAATGCATTTGTGTTGATCTGACATTTCTTTTGCGATGTTTTAATTAGTTGAGATACCCTAGTTGAAAAAAATATTTAAATCAGTTGTACAGCTTTAAGTAGAAACAATCAAATGAATAGAATTGTCCAACGAAATGATCAATTCAAAAACGAAAATAAATATAAAAAATTTCCGAAGCTAAAATTAACAATTTTTTTGGATTAGGGTATCTTTAAGGTAGTTGTACTGCCAAAGCTCATTTGAGAACAACTGCTTCATATTTACATAAACCAATGAACAATAACTGGGTTTCAACACTTGTTACTTAAAGTTTGTGCAATTGTAAGAAATATAAAAACTGATATATTTGTGAATTTTTTACGTTTGTAATATTCTTTCATTTGGCACATGTTTGCAACATAAATTCACTTTCAAATGGAATGTTACAATGGTAAAATTTATTTGCATCTGAAATGGAATAATGTCCTTTTAGGCCTTCAATATGTTATTTTCAAATTCGTAATATTTTTTTGTATTTTGTGCATCAGATCAATTTCGTGGCTTTCTGCAGAAATAAATTTTTGGTAGTACAACTACTTCCCAATAGATTTCTATAAAAATATTGCGTAAACAAATATAAATGAAAAGCTGACTATTCATACACTTTCCCACGTGTTAAAATATTCATTCCTTCACATAATCAAAAAAATATGAATTTTCTTTTCGATTTAAATATCTTTCTTCGTTTCAATCTAGTCAATTTTGTATTGAAGTGGAAGAAGTGACATAGGCTCGCTTCTTTATACGATTTATGGAATTATTACTTTAGAGTTTTTTAGAAAGAAAACTTCAGAAGACCTTTTCATATATTCTTTGATATTTTTACTGAAAATTATTTCCTTTTGAAATAATTCCATAAATAAAGATATTGTTAACTCGACGTTTGACTCTTTCACTGAGTTATTATCTAATTACCTCGTCGATGAGTGGTTTCAGAAGAAAATATTGAAGGACCATTTTCTGGGAGAAAAAATGTTTCTGCTTGAAGACGACAAATGAAGGGAAAAAAAACTTTCAAAATTGAAATTAACTAATTTTCTCATGTGGGGTATCTTCAAGGTAGCTGTACAGCCAAAACTCATTTAAAAACAACTGCTTGATATTTACATAAACTAATGAAGAATCGCTTGAGCTTAAATACTTGTTACTTAAAGTTTTGCAAATGTAAAAAATTTAAAATTTATATATTTACAGAATTCCTTATGTTTGGATATTGTTTCGTTTGATATATGTTTTAACGTAAATTCAATTCAAGGTGCGATGATATAATGATAAATTTAATTTGCATCAAAAATGGAATAGGATTCTTTGGAGGCTTCAACACGTGCTCTTCAAGTTCTAGAATTATGATGATTTTTCTTTCCATTTGATGCATGAGATTAATTTCATGATTTTCTATCCTTTGAAAATATTTTAAAAAAAATTTTGCGCTGAAAAAACTCCGCTAAACTAACGTCTTCAATAAAACTTGACGACAAACGAATTTTCAAAAATCTAGAAACTGGAATTAATTATTTGATTGAGCCCCGGATAGATTATTCTTCGAATTTTATCTGGATTGTTTTTTCATCTTCATAAACTAATATAGGGGAGGTTGGGGTAAAACGGACACGTTCGACTTTTTTTCAAATGTTAATGAGGGGTTGAAATGTTGATAAAATTTGATAATTTTTTTTTCCAATATGAAGAACAATTCTTTCTTTTTGTGATGAGTCTAAACTGAGCTCAATTGATGAATTTGTTTCTGAGTTATGAATAATTTTAAAAAAGTGTAAAGTGTCCATTTTACCCCACCCTCCCCTATATCACAATTTTCACTTAATTTTATATGAGCCAGGAGTTCCTCAAAATTCTAATTGTATAATGAAAAAAAGGAGAAAAAACTCTCTATTGAAACCTGTAGAAAAAACATTTTCAAAGAAAGTTTTCAATAAAGATTAGAAAATGCATAAAATAAATCCTTCAGAGAGGAAATTGTAAATGGATGATTATCATGGCAACTAATGATCTGATAGGCATTGGTTACTGTCACAAATGATGACCTAATAACCATTAGACACAATTAATTACCAATTAGCAATTGTCGCCCTATTGGGTTTATTCCCCAATATTATTGAAAAACTCTTTTTAAAAATGTTTTTTTTTCTGTACTTTTTTTATTGCACAATCATAATTTTCGAAGACTCCAGGGCTGTATAATTACACATTTTAAAATTGAATGGCAGTTGAAAATATTCCAGATTATCAAAATACAAAAAAAATAACCAAGATTACGTACGAAAGATACTACACGTGGGGCTCAAGACTCGCAAGGATTATTTTTTGAACATTATCTCAATTATTTTTCCATCTTCATGATCTGAAATATATCACAATTTCCATTGAATTTTACATCATGCAGGAGTTCCTAAAAACTATGATTATACAATAAAAAAGTAGAAAAAAACTGAAAATTTTTAAAGAGCATTTCAAATAAAGATTATGAAATAAGTACACTAGAGGAAATTATGAATGAATCATGGAAACAAACGCTCTAACAGCCATTAGATACAGGAAATTAATAATTTGCAGTTAATGATGTTCAACTCCATAATTCAGTAGTGAAGTGTTAAACGGCGATAAGTCAACTTATCCCCCAGTTGTGTTTTTGAGGAATATTTCCGAATCTAAGGGAGATAGCGAAATTTTCATAATCACATTTGTTGTAGGTCTCAATCGGCTCTACAAAAAAGGTTATAACAAAAATTTTGCTATTTCCTTTAGATTCCGAGATATTGACTGAAAACTGCTCAATAGTCAAAATTGACTCATCTCCTTTTACCACTTCGCTACTGAATCAATTAACTCAGTGATCAGAGGAATTTAGAGGGTAATAAATATTATTAACTTGCAAATTCCTCCCTATTATGTACGATAATAATTTTTGGGAGACTCCAGGGCTATGTAAAACTGAATGGTAATTGGAGAACATTTCAGATAATCACTTGTAATACCACAAGAGCTTCAAAATTATCGGGTATTTTCCGATAGGTTCGTTGCAAACAAATGAAGGAGTCAAGTTTTTCAGGTTAAAAAATCACGAGTGCGCAAGCACAAGTGATTTTTCCTGAAAAACTTGACGACTTCGTTTGTATGCAGGGAACCTTGAGGAAAATGCCCGATTAATTTTGAAGCTCGTGTGGTATTTGGGGGATTATTTTTCCAATCCAAATGTCGGGCAATATAATTGGACCATGAGACGAAACTCACAATTGAGAAACGAAAATTGTATAATTAACACTCATTTCGAATAAAAATCCTCGGATTACCACAATTGAATTCAATCTGTCAGTTTGACGAGGGGTTAATTTGACTACATGATGTTTTGTTTTTTATATAGCAACTACCAGATAAAATGATCAAAAAATTATCAGTTGAAAACCCTGTAGCTTGTACCACGTGATGTCGAATGGGCCAATTATATTGCCCGATATTTGGGTTGGAAAAATAATCAAAATAAGAAAACAAGGGCCTTAATGTCTTTCTGGCCTGAAAATATGAGAGTACTTTTTGTGGCAAATTCTCTCAGCTACAGAAAGGCTGATTGACATTTTCCTCTACTGCCACTCATTCCCGAAATAATTATGAAAATAACAGACACCTCGACTTTTCGATGAAGTTCAACCACTTCAATACATAATTATCTCATCGCATCACAACTATTCCGAGACACTAGTGGTCCCGGTGTGCCCCGTGGCCTTATCGTAAGACGGGGGAGGTGCCTCAACGTCTGGAGGCTCAGCTTGTGGAATGAGTATAGCAATATGATAGGGTGGAGGTGATGGAGATATAGGTGGAGGTGTTGGGGCTGGCATTGGGACTCTCAGTGTTTGCACTTGGGGTCTCAACTCAGCTGAATTAACAGCGTAATAACAGACGTGATGAGGGCAGACCTCTTGATGATTGTTCTGATTTCTCTCGGCATTTCTCGCACGTCGAGTTATTGTAAAAAAACATCCAGATATCAGTAGAGTTAGTAGGAGTCCGCAGAATATTAAAACGTCGGGACCAGTGTCCGGCTGAGAGGAAAAATCATTAGAACTTTTAATTTCTAGAGACTGAAATTTTGTTAATTGGGGGAATATTGTTGTTTGTGGGTAAACTTCATAATCAACTGGGCCGTTGCACCACGTCCTGTTAGCTAAATCAACTGTTAGAAATTTTTTGAAATTTCATGGAAGATATCATAGTAAATCCTATGAGAGTGACATTGAATCGGATTTAGGGAAAAAATTTTTATGAAATTTCAAAGTTTTCAGTAGAATTTACGAAAATTCATGAGTTTTCAGTGGGGGTGAGATGTTAATTTCACATCTTGATTGAATTTTCAGTGGAACATGAATATTCAGAAACAAAATGACATGAATTTTCAATTTTTCCCTGAATTTCCCTGACTTTTAAGAATTTTCGCAGAATAATTCAGTAGCGAAGTGGTAAACCGGTTTAAGTCGACTCATCTCCCAATTGAGTTTTTGAGGAATATTTCGGAATCTAACGAAGATAGCGAAATTTTCGTAATTACATTTATTGTAGCGCTCAATCGACTCTGCAAAAAAGGTTATAACAAAAATTGTGCCATCTCCCTTAGATTTCGAGATATTTATTAAAAACTGGTCAATAGTCAAAATTGACTTATACCGTTTTACCACTTCGCTACTGAATTGAACTGAAAAATCAAGTATTTTATTGATTTCTAAATAATTTGAACAGAAAATCAATGGAATATTTTATGGAATGAACACGATTTCCTGAAATTTCAGTGAAACTTGAACACGATAAAAATTTCCGGAATTTGGCACGGAAAATTCAGACGAAAATTTTTAACAGTGTCAATCATCAGAATAAATTTATGTCTGGAGTAAATTTATTCCACACTTAGACAGTTTTAGGGATTGCTCGTACACTGAGAAAAAGAATTACTTTAGACAAAGATGATTCCCTTAATACAAGAAAATATTCTCTTGTCAATTTTTAGAATTTTGAAATCTCCTGGTAAATAATTTAGCGCTCACACTGCGAGAAAGAAGTCTTTCAACAGGAGGAAAAGACTCAGATGCTCTTGTCCCGAGAAAAGTTTCAAGTGTTAGCATGAGCCTTCTCATAAATTCATATCGTTTGCGTTATATCTAGAATTTAATGGATTATGAGAATTCACACTTTCGCGATCTGATCACCCATCATCTTCAACTGAGAAATTCTTGTTTGCATGGTACGACGAACACTTTCATTACCAATTCAAGTGTATAGAAAGTTGATCTGAAGTGTTGTTCTCTTTCTGCACGATTTTATGTAATCAAAGTCCGGATGAAAACGACGATTTTTTAAATTGGGCTTGGTGTAACCAAGGGCCAGAGTTGATTATCAAGTTCCCTAATACATAAAATTTCCATCAGAGTATTCGTAATAACTCAAACTATAATAGAATAGGTATTTTATTTGAAATACTTAGTTATATACTGATAATTCTGTATTTGTAGATACAGACTAAATTTATTTTGACCATTTGTTTGGCTAACAGGGCTTGGTGCAACCGGCCCTCGATGAAAATTATTCTCTCAAATTTCGCGAAATCAAAAATGAAGAATGAAAATGTTGTGTCAAAAATTGTACAGAATTCTCCCAAAGTATTCACAAAAACTTTTTTAATTAAGGCCCGGGTGTACTATCTTTCGAACGTTATCTCGATGTTTTTTTTCATCTTTCGTCATCTGAAATTGTCAATTAAGTCCTGCATCATGCAGAAGTTTTGAAAAATTATGAATGAATAATCAAAAAAAAGTAGAAAAAATTCTTAATTTTTTCAAAGAGCATTTTTAATTTATATTCAGAATAAGTTGAATAACGAGAAATTGAAAAATGTATCTGATTTACGGTGACAAAGGGCGGCCTGTCACCCAATATCATGCAGGGGGAAGACTGATTTCGTAAATCTTTTCCCACACTGCACAGAGACATTTATTACGGAAAAGGCAGTTTGAAAAAAGTTGTAATATTTTGGAGAATTTTTTAATCACACTTTTATCACATAAAAATGGCAGATGACTACATACCACTGTTTTGAAAATTGAGATACCTAGCTGTCACTTCCCATGAGAGTTGGTGTTTTGTTATCCACCATGGAAAATGACAGCTAATAGATAATTTGCCACAGCGAATCAGGTATTTGTAATTTCCACTTTTTTCAACTCATTCTGAATCTCAATTAAAAACGCTCTTTGAAAAAGTTCAGAATTTTATCTATTTTTTTTTTATCATTCCATCATAATTTTTGGGAATTTCTACACGATGTACCACTCAATTGACAATTTTCAAAAACGAAAAATAAAAAAAATCCAGATAAGATTCGAAAGATAGTACACCCGGGCTTTAAACTTGAAATCGACTGATTGAGAATTGGGTCACAGATTGTAGAAAGATTTTTTTCACTCATAAAAAGAAAATGCTCATGAGCCAAATTGGAAACTGTTTCAAATTGTTGTAAGGAATTGCTAGCAGATGGTCTACTTACTCTATTTCCGAAATAAAATTTAGCAATTGACACAAAACCAGACGCAAGGACGAAAGTGATCCATACGCCACATCGAAGTCTATAGCCCGCCAACTCAGCATCTCTCATTTCCGGAAATTCCAGAATGGCTCCATTTGCGTTGGGATCGCTGGAGATGACCCTGCGAGGTTGAGCAGAAGTCGTCACAAGACTGTGAAAAACAGTTTTCCCAATCAAAAGTTTCATAATCGAAAATCATATTCATAACAAGGAGGAAAACAAGTTTTAATTTCTAGAGATATATCCGTAATTTTGGGAAATTAATCCTCTATTTTTGAAAATATATATCTAATTTTTAGGGATTTTTCACACTAACTAGTATGCTACACTTCAGGGGCAAAATTTTCCAGATTTCGGTTCATGTCACTGGAAATTGATGATCAAATAACTTGAGTAGGTTTTCTCACTCTTTACAGACTAGAATGCCGCAGATTCTTAAAAACTACACTGAGACAAACATTTTTTTTGGAAGTACGTCTTTATTTGAATTTTAAAAAATCATGGCTCGAAAATTGACAAGAAAAAATATCATAAGGCTCGGGTATACTATCTTTCGAATGTTATCTGTTTTTTTTTCATTTTTCGTTTTCGAAAATTGTCAGTTGAGTGGTACATCATGTAGAAATTCCCAAAAATTATGATAGAATGATAAAAAAAATAGCAAAAATTCTGAACTTTTTCGAAGAGCGTTTCTAATTGAGATTCAGAATGAGTTATTCGTTTCTAATTGAGATACCTAGCTGTCACTAACTCCTCATGGGAAGTGACAGCTAGGTATCTCAATTTTCAAAACAGTGGTATGTAGTCATCTGCCATTTTTATGTGATAAAAGTGTGATTAAAAAATTCTCCAAAATATTACAATTTTTTTCAAAGAGCCTTTTCCGTAATAAATGTCTCTGTGCAGTGTGGGAAAAGATTTACAAAATCAGTCTTTCCCCTACATGATATTGGGTGACACGTCGCAATTTGTCACCGTAAATCAGATACATTTTTCAATTTCTTGTGATTCAACTTATTTTGAATATAAATTAAAAATGCTCTTTGAAAAAATTAAGAATTTGTTCTACTTTTTTTTTGATTATTCATTCATAATTTTTCAAAACTTCTGCATGATGCAGGACTTAATTGACAATTTCAGATGACGAAAGATGAAAAAAAAAACATCGAGATAACGTTCGAAAGATAGTACATCCGGGCCTTAAACTGAAAAAAAACTGGTAATCGGTCCACAATAAGAAAGCGACTTCTAGAACCAAGTCAAGTGGTTTTTGCATTATAAATATTTTGCATTTAAGCCTAAAGAATTATTGAATGCATTGATTCAACTAGACTTGATTCAAGAAATCATTTTCTTGCCATAAATAAAATTATCTCTAATTTTTAGGGATTCAATCCCTGAAATTTAGGAGAAAAATTTCTAAGATTTAGGATTATGGAATGCCACAGATTCTTAAAAACTATATAAAGCTTTGATTTCTCCGTGAAACTATTTATTTGGTTATCTTACTGGGAAATTGTATTTGTTTGTTGGCCACGCCGATTGTTCCTCCCAGTCTCTTCAGTTCTCCTCGAATGTCCTTGACATCGAACCTGCTCAATTCTGCGTTGCTCTCCGGTACTGGAGTTGACAATCCAATTGGTGCTGGGTCGATGAGGCGAAATCATGGATCCACCTCCTAGGCAGTCTCTTCTCCCTCCTAGCTGCCCTATAGATCCAATCAATCACAGTGAGAAATTTCACGAATTGAAAATGCAAGTTTCTATATTTTTTACATTTTCGAGTTTTTCTCTGGGATAAATTCTTGGTCCCATCATTTACCTAATGAAGAAATCAACAATAACAATTGAGCAATAGTATATTGTGCCCCAAGAGTGAAAAGTTATGTTTTGCACATCCTCTAGATGCACATGCTATTTTTTAACATGCCTGCAAAGAAAAGTTTGTATTTTGTTTTTTGATGAGCGGGGGGACTTACGCTCATTTGTGACTAAGAACTTTACGCTCAAGGGTGAAAAGTTGTTCCCGAAGAATGAAGAAAGTACTAATTTTCTGTCCTTGAGCAGAAAGTAATCAGTATTTTTCGCGCGAAGAAGCAACTTTCCATGCTAGAGCGGAAAGTACTCACTTTTCTCACGCTTATCAGAGAGCAAAGTACGAATTTTCTCGGCAGATGTGTGAAAAAATAAGTTATTATGTGTGCGTGCGGAAAATGACTCCTTTACGTACTAGTGACACAATATACTATTGTAGTGCCTGCTTGAAAATTTTACTTTTTATCGCAATGTATGTAAAGTGTATATTTTCATCAAGTGGGGATTTACGCGCGCTTTGCGTACGTAAAACCCCGCTTCATACGTATTGTCACGAAATAGTACATTTCGTAACTAGGCCCGAAAACCGCGATTTAACCGAGCGAAGCGAGTTGACAAATGACAAAAAATATTGTTCGATACACGGCCGTGGGAATTTTTCTGGTGAATATGAGGTTACAGGACGAGCCGAAGGCGAGTTTCGTAATCATATGAGACAGAAAAGTCCTTCACGGCCGTGTATCGAACAATATTTTTTTGTATCTCGCTTCGCTCGGTTAAATCGTGGTTTATCGGGCCTAGTGAGGAAAAATAGCATTGGACATTCATTGGAAAAATGTTCGCTAACCTGTGGAAGGGTAGCGCTCCACACCACCCATACGTCAAATAGTATATTGTGTTACTAGTGTGTAAAGTTTCACATTTACGCACGCACGCGTAATACATCCCATTTTTGTGATACTTGTAGAGATACAAATGTGAGTTGAAGTTTTATACTACTGTATGTTTCACGCAGTTGTATTTTTATACACCTGTGTGTTTCACGCAGTTGCATTTTTATACGCCTGTGTTTCACGCAGTTGTATTTTTATAGGCCTGTGTTTCACGCAGTTGTATTTTTATACACCTGTGTGTTTCACGCAGTTGCATTTTTATACGCCTTTGTGTTTCACGCAGTTGCATTTTGATAAGCCTGTGTGTTTCACGCAGTTGAATTTTTTTTCTGAATACGACTGCGTGAAACACACAGGTGTATAAAAAGACAACTGCGTGAAACACAGGCGTATAAAAATGCAACTGCGTGAAACACACAGGTGTATAAAAATA